TATTTATTGGAAATTTTATTGAGAAGATATGTGTTTTATGTTGTGTGAGGCACGGGAAATTCAAAGTTAAAGAAGGCTCATGGACTTTAGGGAACTTTAAGAGAGACAGATAATTCTAATAAGGTGTGGTAAGTACAAATGGTAGAGCCTCATTGGGTTATTGTGGGAACACTGAACAGAGCGGTGGTTGATTCTCAAAATATGGCATCCCAGGTCCCTAAACTCCTTCTTAGGGGATCTGCAAGGTCAAAACTGTCTTTGTAACAATACTAAGATATTATTTATTCTTTTGTTATTGTTGTTCTCATTCTCTCACAAGTAGATATTGAAGTTTTCCAGCAGCAGTAGGACTTGTGATATTTCAACAGATGATAATATAGTTGTTATTATCTGTTAAGCAGCCATTACAAAAATGTGAAATATTGTCACTCCTCTCACTAAATGATTTATTTTGAAAATATAGCTTCTAAAAATAAGATGTTAGCCAGATATGATGGCATATGCCTGTAATCCCAGCAACTCAGGAGGCTAAGACAGGAGGATCACAAGTTTGAGGCCCATCTCAGAAATTAGTGAGCTCCTAAGCAGCTTAGCAAGACCCTGGCTCAAAACACAAAAAGGGCTGGGGATGTGGTTCAGCCAAAGCACTCCTTAGTGAAATCCCTGGTATTTTTTTTTTATATTTATTTTTTAGTTTTAGGTGGTCACAATATCTTTATTTTATATTTATGTGGTGCTGAGGATTGAACCTAGTGCCTCGTGCATGTTAGGCAAGTGCTCTACCACTGAGCCACAATCCTAGCCCCGAAATCCCTGGTATTAATGAATGAATAAATGAAGTTTAAAAATGTTCTTTTTTTGCATACTGGGGATTGAACAGGGGTGCTGTACCATACATCCCAGTTGTTTTCATTTCATTTTGAGGTAGGAACTTGCCAAATTGCTGAGGCTGACCCAAAACCTGCTATCCTCCTGCCTCACCAAGTAGTTAGAATTAGAGGAATGTGTCACCATACCCAGCTAAAAAAAATGAATTATTTTTATATCAAAATTTAGAGTTGGGGTTTGTTGCCCATGTCTGCAATCCCATCTACTCACAAGGCTGAAGCTGGATGACAAATTTAAAGCAAGTCTAGGCAAATTAGTGAGGCCCTGTATCAAAATAAAAAACTAAAAGAAATGGAGAGTCAGTCATGGTAGCACATACCTATAATCCCAGTGACTCAGGAGGCTGAGGCAGGAGAATCACAAGTTCAAAGCCAGCCTCAGCAATTTAGGGAGACTGTCCCAAAATTAAAACACTGGGGATGTAGCTTAGTGAAGCACCTCTGGTTCAGTCCCTACGAAAATGTGAAATATTGTCACTCTTCTCACTAAATGATTTATTTTGAAAATATAGCTTCCAAAAATAAGATGTTAGCCAGATATGATGGCACATCCCTGTAATTCCAGCAACTCAGGAGGCTAAGACAGGAGGAGGTGATGAGCATGTAACTGAATAGTAGAGTGCCCCTGGGTTCAGTTCTGGGTGGGTGTGGGGGGAGCCCTCATGAATGGAATTAGTGACTTTATGAAAAAGACTGGAGGGAACTAGCTAGCCAAGCCCTTCTGACTCTTCCATCCTTTTTGCAATGAGGATTCCTTAGAGGGCACCATCTATGAGAGATGGACCCTCACCGGACACCAAACATAATAATGTCTTTTTTTTTTTTTTTTTTTTTTTTTTTTTTAGAGAGAGAGAGAGAGAATTTTAATATTTATTTTTTAGTTTTTGGCAGACACAACATCTTTGTTTGTATGTGGTGCTGAGGATCGAACGTGGGCCGCACGCATGCCAGGCAAGCGCGCTACCGCTTGAGCCACACCCCCAGCCCCATAATAGTGTCTTGATCTTGGACTTCCCAGCATCCAGAACTGTTAGACATAATTTTTTGTCATTTGTAAATTACCCAGTCCTGGATATTTTGTTATAACAGTGCAAGTGGTCTTAGACAATAGTGTTACCATGTGACCCAGCAATTCTACTCTAAAGTATATACATAAGAGAATTAAAGTATATGTTGCTCATCCCCAGGACTACAAAAACCCCAGTGTATTGTTTACTAATCCCAAATAATTTGGAAGACTCAATAGAGAGGGGTTTGGACTTTTTATTATTCATGTGCACCTCTGGCAGTAGCCAAGACAATACGGAGGGCACACCACACTTACAAGCAGGGGGGATTTATATATAAGATAGATTACATGCATGTACAAATTCCTTCAGATGATTTATGAACACATTTCTTTACTTCACAACCAAGGTCTTTCTGCTTTGATCCCAATGTGAAGATTGGGGACGAGGGAAAAGGCCAGTTTCCCTATAATAACATATTTTTTGAAATTCTTTTTATTTCACCACCAGGACCAACAAATCTTCCTAGGCACTAACCAGTGTTAAATCCCAACATATGTTCTTATAAAAAGTTGAACATGGGCAGGAGTGGTGGCACCCTTGTAATTCCAGCAACTTGGGAGACTGATGCAGGAGGATCACAAGGACAGTTGTAGCAATTGAGCAAGACCATGTCTTAAAATAAAAAATAGGAAGGGTTGGGGCTGGATGCAGTGGTACATGCCTGTAATCCCAGCAGCTTGGGAGGCTGAAACAGGAGGATCACTAGTTCAAAGCCCCCCTCAGCAATGGTGAGGCACTAAGCAATTCAGTGAGACCCTGTCTCTAAATAAAGCACAAAATAGGGTTGTGGATGTGGCTCAGGGGTTGAGTACCCCTGAGTTCAATCCCTGGTACCAAAATAAAATGGGCTGGAAAGAGCACCCTGGATTCAATCCCCAGTACCCAAAACAACACTTTTGCTTTTTTTTTTAAAAAAAAAAAACAAAAACGGGGATCAAACCCAGGGCACTCTACTATTGAAGTACATTCACAGTTCTTTTTTTTTTTATTTTTATCTTTTTTAAAATTTTGAGACAGAGTCTTGCTAAATTGCTTAGGGCCTCAGCAAGTCACTGAGGCTAGTCTAAAGCTTGTGATCCTACTGCCTCAGCCTTCCAAGTCACTGGGATTATGTGTGTGCCACCACGCTCAGCTATAAAAAACAAAAACTTGTACATGGATATACATAGCAACACTATTCATAATATTTGTTGGAAACAATCTAAATGTATGTCAATAAGTGGATAAACAAAAGGCGTTTTATTCATATAATTGAATATTATTCAGCTATTAAAAATGATGTTCTAATATATACATCAACATTGATGAACCTTGAAAACATGCCAAAGTGAATGGGGTCTCTTTTCTCTTGCCCTCTTACCCCAGGTCAAAATTTTATTTTATCTTGGTATTGTGACCAAGATTTGATTCTTTTGTCAGTTTTCAATTAGTAACAATTTACCACATAGTTTTTGCTATAATCAGTTTTATTTTATGACACTATATTTATCAAGTCTTTTTCTTGGGTCAGACTTTAGAATTCAGTTTTACATTGGAGAATGATGTCAGTGTCTGAAATTTTAATTTCTGTAGTCTTCCAATTATTTTATGTTCCAAATATTTATTTACTCTGCTATGCTATTTGATGGACAACGAGCAAGGGGGATGTATTCAGAGTAAAAACTTCAGGAACAAAAACATTCAGTTAGCTTTATGAGAAGCGATCATTGATCCATCCACCCTTTCATCCACCCATCCATCCACATATCCATCCATGTAAGCCTGTATCCATCTCTGTATACATTTATTAATCTACTCAAGGGGTTTTCAACCAGGGCAATTTTGTCATCAGGGGACATTAGGAAATATTAGGAGACATTTTTTTAACTGTCATAAATGGGGAAATGCTACTGGCAACTCATGGGTTAAGGCCAGAGATACTGTTAAATTCCTTCCAGAAACACATAGTACAGCCCCACAAACAAATAAGTGACTTAAAATGTCAATATTACCAAGCTTAAGAACCCCTGTTTTACCTGTATACTCAGAAAAATGAGATATTATATCCCATCTGATTCAAATGTATGATGTGTCAAGGTCTTTGTACTATCATGTGTAACTAATTAAAACAAATTAAAAAAAAAAAACAATGTCCACAATATATTGGCACCAGAAAAATAAAAGGAGTGAAAAGAGTTAAAAAACCAAAACCAAAAACAAAAAACCTGTTTTAACATATCCATTCCCTTACCACCCACCCATTCATCTAAGTGTTTATTGAGCACTACGTGTCGGTCCTGACTGCAAATCAGAATTAACTATGGAGCACATAAAACATACAAATGCTCAGATATCATTGTTGAATATTCAGATTTTTTTTTGTTATTTTATGGGGATATTTAATCCAGGGCTTCACAAATGCTAGACAAAGGCTCTACCACTGAGCTCTATCCTTAATCCCGAATATTAAGATTTTTATAATGAGAAGCTATTGAAGTATAAGGGGTCCCTGTTCAGGGTAATGAAAATGTTCTAAAATTGATTGTGATTATGATTGCACAACTCTGTGCATATACTAAAACCAACTCACATGTATACTTTAAGAGGGTGATATAATTTGGTATGTGTTATAATTTTGCATGTGATAATTTATATGCCTGTAACATTTACCCATTTTTATATATTCCAGAATATTGATTAGTCTTTTATCAGATATGATTTGCAAATATTTTCTCCCATTTTATCTTTTTCAGCACTGGAGATTGAACCTAGGGCCTGAAATATTCTAGGCAAGCACTCTACCATGGAGCTATATTCACAGTCCTTTTTATTTTATTTTGAGATAGGGTCATACTGAGTTGCCCAGAATGGCCTTGAATTTGTGCTCCTTTTGCCTCAGCCTCCTAAGTAGCTGGGATTACAGGCAGGTGTGTGTCATCACACCTGGTTTTTCAACCTGTATTTAAAATGTGTAGAGTTGTAAAGAATTAAATATCATATAAGTAGTAAAATTTTAATTTTGCCCATTTAGATTAATATTTTTTTGTTCAACCTTTCTTTGTAGTGTATCTTCTAATCAGAAAAAGTCTTCCATGAAAACTTCACGTTTAAAAAATAAGTAATGCTGTCTATTTTCCTAAAAGAGTAAAATGGGGACTATTATTTTGAGGTAAGTGACAATTTTATATTTTAAATTTCTTCTATTATTTTTTCAGAAGTTTAATGAAGAAGGAAAATGTGAATATTGGTTAGATTCTAAATCTCTTTTTGGGGGGGTTACTGGGGATTGAACTCAGGGGCACTCGACCCAGCCCTATTTTGTATTTTATTTAGAGACAGGGTCTCACCGAGTTGCTTAGTGCCTCACTTTTGCAGAGTCTGGCTTTGAACTAGTGATCCTCCTGCCTCAGCTTCCCAAACTGCTGGGATTATAGGCATGTGCCATTGCACCCAGCTAGATTCTAAGTCTTTTAGCTAATCTTTGAGGTGGTGGGGAATCCTAGGTCTCCTTTAAGATAGTCTGATTATTTAGGATTATTTAACACATGAATTAAAGAATGGAGCTTCATGATAGAAATAGGGGTTAAGTAGTGTGAAAAGCTTTTTAGAGAGGTTGATTGGAAACTGAAGAAAACATTTTTTGAATTTGATAGTGAGGAGGTTATTGATGACTTCAGTAGGGGACATTCCAGGAGGGTGCTTGTGGCTGAAAATCCACTTGCAGTGGAGTAAAGAGTAAAGAGGAGATGGTAAAATGTATTTGAATATTTCAGTTCTTGATTCTTTTTTGTTTTCTTTTTTCAGTACTGAGGATTGAACTCAGTGCCTTATAAATACAGGCAAATGCTTTTACCATCGAGCTGTAGCCCTTTTATTTATTTATTTTTGGTGCTGAGGATTTAATCCAGGGGCACTTTACCACTGATCTACACTCCCACCCTTTTCATTTTTTAAATTTTGAGACAGGGTCTTGCTGAATTGCTTAGGGCTTCCTCAATAAACTTGGGAGGCTGGCCTCGAACTTGAGATCCTCCTGTCTCAATCTCCCTATTGATTGGTGGCTGAGATTACAGGTGTCAGCCACCATGCCCAGTCCTCAGCCTCCCCTTTAAAAGATTTTTAGTTATATATGGACACAATACCTTTATTAAATTAATTAATTTATTTATATGTGGTTCTGAGGATTGAACCCAGTGCTTCACACGTGCTAGACGAACGCTCTACCATTGAGCTAAAACCCTAGCCCACCTCCAGCCCTTAAGTTTTTTTTTTAAATTAAAATTTTTTTTTTTTTAGTTTAACACAATACCTGTATTTTATTTATTTATTTTAATTGGTGCTGAGGATCAAACCCAGGGCCTCGTATGTTTAGGTGAGTGCTCTGCCATGGAGCTATAACCCCAACTCCTTAAGTTTTCTTTTGACACAGGATCTCACTAAGTTCTCCAGGCTGTCCTCAAACTTTCTATCCTCCTGTCTCAGCCCCTGGAATAACTGGAATTATATGTGTGCACCACCAAGCACAGCTCCTTTTAATTCATTTATTAGACCAGTAAGTTCTATGTGCTTAGAATATCGCAATACCTTCTCTAAGCTCCGGAGTTGTAGTTAAGGTGTCCATTGATACTGATTTTAGCTTCTTACAGATCACTTAATGCCCAACTGTTTTTCATGCCAGTTTTTACTCTCAACTCTACAGGGTTGGACAATAAATAATGTGGTTCTCCCTAGTTATTCTGTTAATAGAATAGACATTTCCTGCCAGGGTTATCTGGTTTGCTAGGTATTATATCACTAATAACTAGTATAATTCCTTTTTAGGTTAAAAGGAATGATCCATTAGAGTCGTCTAAATATTAAAGAAAATGATTAATTTCTTACCTATCCATTACAGTAGTCTAAATATTAAAGAAAGTGATTAATTTCTTACCTTGAGGAAGTAGGGAAGTTTAAAACCAAAGACATGGTTAAAGGGCTTAACTCATATAAAAGAGTAACAGTCTTTGTGCTTAGAAATTAAAAAATTGGAAGAGAGGATGAATCAAGTAATTTTTAGAAATTAAAGAATTGGAAGAGAGGATGAATCAAGAAATTTTTAAGCAAAGATGAAGAAACTGTAGGATTCCTTATCCTACTGTGTGTGTGTGTGTGTGTGTGTGTGTGTGTGTGTTTTACTAGGGCCTTGAATACTACCTCTGAGCTACAGCCTCAGCCCTATTATTCTACCTTTTTAATATGGTAGGGATTGAGGTTATCTATTAGACATATTTATTCAACAGTGGATTGGGATCCTGGGAAAAGAAAACATTTGGGGAAAATATTGTAGGGTAGTTAACAAATTCAGCAAGTATTTATTGAAATACCTGTATTGTGCCAAGCACTTTGTTTGGCAGTACTGGGGATTGAAACCTAGGGACACTTTACCACTAAACTATGGCCCCAGCCCTTTTTATATTTTAGTAGCCCATGTCTCAAAATAAATTGTGGTGGTGGGTTTAGCTCAGTAGTAGAATGCCTCTGGATTCAATATCCAGAATTGCTAAAAAGAAAAGAAACATTTTATTTTTAATTAAGAAAAAATTTTTTTGGTACTGGGGATTGAACCCAGGGATGTTTGACCACTGATTCACATCCCAGCCTTTTTTACTTATTATTTTGAGGCAGAGTCACAATAAGTTGCTTAGAGTCTCAAATTTGCGACCCTCTTGCCTTACCTTTCTGAGTTGCTGGGATTACAGGTGTGTGCCACCATGCCTGGCTGAAAAAAATTTTTTTTTTTTTTTTTTTTTAAATTTGAGACAGGGTGTAGCTAAATTACCCAGGCTGACCTTGAATTTGGGATCCTCCTGCCTCAGCCTCTTGAGTAGTTGGGGTTATAGGCATGTGTCACCATGCTTTGCTTCATGGAGTTGATATTCTAATAAGAGTAGACAAGCTATTCAATAAATAATATATAAAGAATGGGAGGTGATAAGTATTAAGAAAATACATTAGAAAAAGGTAAGATAAATAGGTTTATTATTTTATAAGGTGTGGTTCTGGAAGCCCTCTTTGATTAGGGTGATACATGATCTCACATCTCTAAATAAAGTAGTAGAACAGACCATGTGGATATTTGGGATGGGATAATGGGAGCATTCTAGGCTGAAGGCATTTAAATTTAAGCAAATGTTCCGAGACTGAACTGTGCTTGATGTATTCTAGTAGCATTATTCTAGCAGCATTAAGAGAGTAGTATAGCTGGGATGGAATGAGAGAGGAGGTGGTCGCAGCTTTCATCAGCATTGTGAAGGTGGTAGAGATTCAAGTCAAATTGTAGATCAGGATCAGGCCTTTGAATTTTCTTCTGTGCAATGACAGGGATGCAGAGCCAGGAGTGAGGATGTAGGGGGAGTAAAAGACAAGTGAATGGCTAACAGTTGTAACTTGTAGCTAAGAACCATCAAGTTTCCAAAGGTAATAATAAGAGAAAGATAAACAATTAAGGAAATATTTGAATACCACAGGAGGATGGAAGACTAGAGAAAGGTGAGTTGGTGGCATAGAAGGTCTGTAGTTCCTAATGAACAAATTTACTTGGATTCAGATTTATTTTGTAAGTTGTAGTAAATATATATATATAACATAAAGTTTATTGTTTTAACCGTTTCTTAGTGTACATTTCAGTGGCATCAAAAACAATCACAATAGCCAGCAACATCACCATTGTCCTTTTCCAGAACTTTTTGTCATTTCAAATCTAAACATGCCCAGTAAGTAAACCTTCTGGCTGGGAGTAGGGCACTTGCATAACCTGTGCGAGGCCCTTGCTTCAATTCCCAGCACCACATTATCACAAAACAAAACAGTTTCTGATTGCTGATTGCCTCCTCTCACAATTAAAAAAACAAAACAAAACAAAACAAAAACGAAGTTGAGGGGTATAACTCAGTGGTAAAGTACCTCTGGGTTCAGTCTCCAGTACCCCGCCCCCCCCCCACACACAGAGTTTTTTTTTTTTTTTAACTAGTTCTGACTTTGTAGTGTAGCATAACCTTTTGTGTTGCTTCTAAAACTAGGAAGAAATCTATGATAAATATGCTTTTAAGGAAATACACTTAAAACATTCCCCTACTAAAAACCATAGATGTACTATAAAATCAAATCCGGACAACAGTATGGAGAAATCGGAACTCTTGTATTTCTCACAAAAAAAGTAAACAGGGGGATAGAGATATAGCTCAGTTGTAGAATGCTTGACTACCATGCGTAAGGCCCTGGGTTCCATCCCTGACACGGTGCCATAAACAGAATTATTTCATGATCCAACAAGCCTACTTCTTGATATATACCCAAAAGAATTGAATCCAAGAACTGGACCAGGTCTTTCTTTCTTTTCTTTCCTTTATTTTTTATTTTTTAATTTTTTGTACCAGGGATTAGACCCAGGGGCGCTTAACCACTGAACCACATCCCTAGCCCTCTTGAGACAAGGTTTCAATGAGTTGCTTAGGGCCTTGCATAGTTGCTGAGGCTGGCTTTGAACTTATTATCCTCCTGTCTTAGCCTCCCAAGCCTCTGGGATTATGATTACAGGTGTACACCACCATACCCAGCAGTTTTTTTTTGTTTTTTTTCTTTTACAGGACTAGTGATTGAACCCAGGACCTCTTGCACATTAGGCAGTTATTTTACTACTGAATCATATCACTAGATTTAGATTACTATTGTTTTTACTAAAAGAATATAGGTGTTAACCTCTGAGTTTGGAAATTTTAGAAGGAGCTAGAGAAATTTTTTCCTTGGTGTTGAGTAAGTAATTCCCTGTGGGAAAAGATAATTCCATATTTAGATAGAGGCTAGGCCAATAAAAGCTATTAAAGGAAAAAATATTGATAGGATTACAGTTGCTAGAGAGGTTTCTGAAGCTTTCTATCTTGTTTGGCATTAGATAAAGACATTTTCAAGGTCAATATTGTTATTATTTAGGCATGCTGGGGATTGAACATAGGGCCTTGCATATGGTACCACAGATTAAACCTAGGGACGCTTAGCCACTGAGCCACATCCCAAGCTCCTTTTTTTTTTTTTAATATTTATTTTTTAGTTTTAGGTGGATTCAATATCTTTATTTTATTTTTATGTGGTGCTGAGGATTGAACTAGTGCCTCATGCATGCTAGGCAAGCAC